TGATCTGGTGGGAGGTGTCCCTGCCCAGGGCAGGGGTTGGATGATCTCTAAGGTCTCTTCCAACCCAAACCATTCAAGTGATTCTATGTCTTCATTGGAAGGGTGTGCAGCAAAGACCAGTCTAGATTCCCAAAGCAGGTTATGTCTGCTGATGTTTATGACCACACAGCTTCTACAAAACTTGAAGCCCAAGTAATTTTGAAGAGGTCACACATTCATAGAGTCAAAGAATTTTAGGGGTTGGAATGGAGCTGAGAGCTCATCCAGCCCCAAGCCCTGCCCTGGGCAGGGACACCTCCCACCAGAGCAGGTTGCTCAAGGCTCATCCAACCTGGCTGTGAACACTGCCAGGGTTGGGGCAGCCACAGCCTCCCTGGGCACCCTGGGACAGGGTCTCACCACCAGAACAGGCAAAACTTCTGCCTAACATCAAACCTATTTTGATGTTTCTGAACTGTTCAGTGCAGTAGAGCTCACACTCATGCTGCCACAAGATCTGTTGGATGCCTTTGTAGTCTGATGGGGCATCCATGTGGATGTCTGTTCACTTTGCATGGTGTTTAGGTGACACATACAATAAATCCTACAGAAGTCCATGACTCTCACAGCATATTCCCACTGGCTGTGGAGACAGGGCCATTCTGCACATTTCTTTTTACCCCTCAAAAGCTGCCAGGGCCTAGAGTTATTCAGAGCACCAAATGACTTGGCTTCAATGACACATGGAAGCATCAGGAAGAGTCAGTGGAATTCCAAAACATCCCCAGTGGCCCATTCAAATCCCAAGACATTAGGCATATGGATGGGGAAAAACACAGCCAGAATTGATACATGTGGTATCAAGACAAGGTAATGAGCTCCCCATTGAATGGATATGACATCGAAGTACCTGACATGGTTGCACCTGATGCACCATCTTGTTTCATGCAGAAGTGCTGCCCAAAGCTCTGTTCTGGCATCTGGACTCTGCTCCTTGCCCCTTCTTCCAAGAGGCTGTTTGGAACAGTGATGTAGGAATGCTGGTGGGAGCCCTCTGACTGCAGCACAGCCTGGCTGGCCTTACAGTCCTTGGCACTCTGGGGGTTGTTGTCAGTATCCAAGGTCTCAGTGAGAGACTCACAGGTGGACAAAGTTGATTTTGGTCTGGATGACCTGGAATCTCCAGAAAGCTTGAGCTCCAGATTCTGAATCTTCAACAAGCACCAAGTCTTCAGCTCATCCACCAAGGAAATCTGTGAGAAAGAGACTGTAAATTAGCTGATGCTATAATGAGATCCTGTGGTTCCTGAGGACATGCGGCAGGGACAGAGAGAAGCAAGGTGGGTAGCTGTGGGCTTAGACTCCCTGTACAGATGTGCATGCTGCCACTGGGAATATTTGGAGGACTGCAAATCAGAGAAGGTGAAGAACTAGGCATTAGTGAATGAAAAGCTGCTCTGTAGCCCAAGCTACCACTTCTTAGATAGGAACATCCTACTTTAAATGCAACTCTTAAGTCCTCCTATCAAGGATGACTTGTTTGTCATACAGACAATGACACTTTCTAAGTGCAAGGAACATCACTTGTGGTCAAAGCTGCTGCTTCTTAAGAATGAAATTCAAATTAGACACTTAAATAATTGAAACCAGCAGTGACAAGAAAGACTTGGGAGTGACAGTGGATGAGAAACTGCCCATGAGCTGCAGTGTGAGCTCAGCCCAGAGACCAAGCCAGGCCTGGGCTGAGCCACAGGAGTGTGGGCAGCAGGGCAAGGGAGGTGATTCTGCCCCTCTGCTCTGCTCTGGGAGACCCACCTGGAATACAGTTTTCCCTGTTCTGGTGGTGAGACACTGTCCCAGGTTGCCCAGGGAGGCTGTGGCTGCCCCAACCCTGGCAGTGTTCACAGCCAGGCTGGCTGAGCCTTGAGCAACCTGCTCTGGTGGGAGGTGTCCCTGCCCAGGGCAGGGGTTGGGGCTGGGTGAGCTCTCAGCTCCATTCCATCCCCAAAATTCTATGATTCTGTGATTCTGGGACACAGCTTTATACCTTACTCTGCTCCTCTGTTCACTCAGTGACAGAGGCAAACCCCTCACTAAATGATAAAATCACTACCAGGGGCTGAAGCAGTGTCAGCTGCAGAGGCATTTAAATAATTTAAAACACAAGCAGCTCTTTCATCCTCACGTTCATATGACATCATGAATCTAGGTCAGGCCCTGCTAGGCACAAGGACACTTAGTCAATGTGTTTAGTAAAGCCCAATTCAAGTTTTCCAGTAGTTTCCAATTAGACCCAACAGAGCAGGAACAGCTGATACTGATAATTAATGCCACCTGATTCATCACTCCAGCAGCTTTTTTCTTAGATGGAGATCACAAGGAGATGGAGCACAAGCCTAGACCTTCAGAAGCAAGTATAAGACTTCTATCTCTTAGGATGAAACAAAAACTAAAGCTGTCTTAGTTTGGTAAGTACTTCTTTTTGGAGAAAAGTGTTTTGTGGCTGTTAGGCCAAAGTATCTTGGTTGGTAGGACTGTCACAGCTACCAATCTCTTAGCATGACTTTGGAATGGTCTTAGAAGATCTTAGGACATTTTGCTAGCACAGGGTGTATTTCTCAATGCTTGGAAAAACACCAATAATGAGCAAAAGAACTGTGTTTTAAATTTGCCTGTGTGAGTGGAGAAACACATTTCCTAGCATTCTTAAATGGTGAGTTTTTGCAGAAGCCAGGAAGGCAAGAGCTGGATCTCCATGGGAGCAGTTATTCCTGTACTGCTGGTTAGACAAGCACAGGACAAGAACTTGCCTACTGCAGTAATGCAGAGCCTGGAGATGGTGTCCTGTTGCTAACATCTGAGGGAAGAACTGCAGCCTTTTAACATAGGGGGAAAAAAAGATCAGAGTGAAAAGAAGGGAGAGATTCCCAGGGCCCACAAGTAAAGGGATGAGAAGTAAAAGGAGCAACACAGATCTTAGCCTTTGTTACTATGTGCAGATGTTCCTGCAGGTGTCCTCTAGTGAAGCAAAAGAACAAACAGGGACAAATTTAGCAGTGGGAAGTTTTTGCAAAACACTGTGTTAGGAAAACACTGTTTTGTTACAGATCCCACACTTGAGGCATAGCAAATGAAACTACAACAGTGGGACTGGATGTCACATTCCTCATTTCTAGGGTGAAACGGTTGACAGATCAAGGTGGTGGATAGGAGTAATTTGGTCCTTGAACCTCTTTTGCCTTTTTCAGTGGATATGTCTCCAGTATTAACAGGTGTGTGATGTGGCACTGGAGGATCTGGTTTGGGGGTTCCAGCAGTGACAGGTTAATGGTTGGACTTGATGATCTTAGAGGTCTCCTCCAACCTTGATGGTTCTGTGATTCTAATATTCTCTGCCTGCTGGAAAGAAACCCTTAAGCAGAGCTAACAGGGAGTGGCTGTTTCATCCCTACCTGTCGCTTCTCGCCCTCGTTCTTTTCCAGCTCTGTGTGCTGCTGCAGGCGCTGCAGACACTCTGTTCTCTCTGCTGACAAACGCTCAGCCATCAGCTTGTCCAGAACACGGAGCTGGGGGAAAAACACGGATCAGCTGAGATGGTCATGTTAAAAACTAAACAGAACTCCCATCTGTGAACCTTGTAAGGCAAAGTACAATCAGTCTCCCTTTCTAGGAACACTGTTAACTCGACAGGGATTGAGTGAACCCTCAGGGAATGGGCAGAGACACTGAGCTGGGTGTGAGTGTGGATCTGCCTGAGGGTAGGAAAGCTCTACAGAGAGACCTGGAGTGACTGGATCAGTGGCTGAGGACACTGCATGAGGGTCAGTGAGGCTCAGAGCTGGTGCTGCCCTTGGCACACAACAGCCCATGCAGCTCCAGGCTGGGGGAGCAGTGGGGACAGAGGTGTTGGTCCCAAAGGGCCTTGGCAGTGCTGGTGGCACAGCTCAGTGGGAGCCAAGAGTGTGCACAGGTGGCCAAGGAGGCCAAGGGCACCTTGTCCTGGCTCAGCAGAGTGTGGCAGCAGCACTAGGGCAGTGTCATCCCCCTGCACTGGGCACTGGGGAGGTCCCAGCTCAGTGCTGTGCTCAGCTTTGGGCACTCACTGCCCAAAGGCCATTGAGGCACTGAGCGAGTCCAGCCAAGGGCAACGAGGGCAGCAAAGGGCAGAGCACATGGGCAAGGGCTGAGGGAGTTGGGTTGGTCAGCCTGGAGAAGAGGCTCAGGGGTGACCTCCTGGCTCTCTGCAACTCCCTGCCAGGGAGGGATTTTTGCAGATCAGCTCTAGGACTGTCTTCATTCCCTCTTAATGGCTCAGGGCCTTAAGATTCATTGTCTAAAGAAGCATTAACACATTGAGCATGGGTTTTCTCAAGGCCCTAGTTTGCAACACTAAATCCCTGTGGAATGTCACAGCTCCCTGGACTTGAGTGTTAGATCTCAGGTTTGTTTTTGCAACACAAGAAGTAATCAATAAATCATGGCAATGAAAATATTCATTAAACTTAGGCTATGTTTCTAATAGTCAGATGGGCAGGCAGAGCTCTGGGTCATGTTCTTACTTGATGTTGAGTTTTGCTTTCCATCTGGCCCAGTTTCATATTCATCTTATCTTGTACTGTCCCAAACTCAGCTTTTATCTCTTCCACTGTTGCCTCCAGCTGGTTCTCCAGTCTGTTTATCAGGGGCTCACAACGACATCCATTTATCGGTGCCTGGAAGGAGTAACACAATTACTTTCTTCATCCCATTGTCCTCTCAGCAGACTTGGAACATCACCACAGCCTCCTTGAGTCAGCCTTGGGCTCTTCTGTGCTGCACCTCACCTGCCTGACAGTATCTCACAGTAGCAAACAGGCTGTTAGTGGAAAAAGCAGAGAGTAGCAGAGGGTTGATCTGATTTAGGTGGACACAGCCCAACACTCAGCAGTGTGGATTCCTGCAGAGGAGCCTCCCCTCCTCCTTTGGCCCTGCAGCAGTGTCTCAAACTGGGGGTTGTTCCCTTGGCAGGCAGAGGTGGGTGGTTTGCTGAGCACTAAAGAAAGCTTCAGAAATACATGTACTTAAGAAATTATGTTTGCTATTCAGGGCCTGAGGGCAGCAAAGAAGACAGACAAGCAAAAAATAAAGCAGAAAGGAAGGGAGGAGTGTCATGTATTTCAGGAAATACTATATGGGAGTCTAGTTCTATTAAGCTAATCCTGTGAACAGAAGAGATTTGGATACAAGTCCTGTCTGCTCTCTGCACCTCTCTCTGCTCCACAAATCCTTCCTATGGCCCATCCTCCTACCATTGGATCCCCAGGGGCACAGACTCCTTTTAACACAGAGCTCCTCCATCCTCCCTGGTGAGGATAATCCTGCAGTGCCCCTGGCTGGAAACTTCTCAAGCATTACATAGAGAGGTTGGAAAATACAGCCAAGTAAAACCTTTGAAGTCTGACTTGAATGATCCCCAGAACCTGCTGAATTCCTTACCTACAGCAAGGGACTGAGGAGAGCTGGTGGATGGCTGTATGAAAGGATAGACCTCCTGTGGGTACAGGAGGACATTAGGAAAACAACAGTACAGACATCTGCAGGGTAATTTGCTGACTGTTCATGCTGTCTTATAAATGTCTACTGGTAATTAATTGTATAATCATCTGACTAAAATATCAGTCTCCAAAATGGAATAAATGCACAGGAGTAACTCCAGGTTTATTTGTGAACCAGTTTCAGTACAGATCCTGCCCTAGTAATCCTAGAATCCCCAAAGACAAGTTGCAGTAAACAGAAAGAGCTGAAACAAAATCTACTGAGCTTACTCAAGCTCTTGGTTGAGGTAGTAAGGTTCAGTGCTCACACACTGCTCCCTTTTATTTCCCTTGGCAAAGCTCTTTCCATTTCCTGTCACAAATCATAACGTTTCAAAGTAAATAATAAAAGTTCTGGTGTCATTTCCCATCACTGTTCGTACCTTATCTCCAAAAATAGGAAATACTTTGTAGATCAAAACTACTTAAGTAAAAGAAGGTACACAGGCACAAAACCTGCTTATTGTTTGCCAGACTTCAGGCCAAAATGCACCTGAAGCCCAAACAAGGAAAAGAAATGCACAGTCAGGATTTCATGCCCCTGAAAGTGCAGTTAATTGAACATATTATGGAAGTGTTGGAGCAAGTGCAGAGGAGGCCACAGAGCTGCTCAGAGCACTGGAGCATCTCCCTGTGAGCACAGGCTGAGGGAGTTGGGGCTGTTGAGCCTGGAGAAGAGAAGGTTGTGTGGAGACCTCAGAGCACCTTCCAGGACCTGAAGGGGCTCCAGGGAAGCTGCAGAGGGATCTGTGTTAGGAGCTGCAGGGACAGCACAAGGGGCAATGGGCACAAATTGAAGGAGGGAAATTGAGGTTAGATGTTAGGCAGAAGTTTTGCCTGTTCTGGTGGTGAGACCCTGTCCCAGGGTGCCCAGGGAGGCTGTGGCTGCCCCAACCCTGGCAGTGTTCCCAGCCAGGTTGGATGAGCCTTGAGCAACCTGCTCTGGTGGGAGGTGTCCCTGCTCAGGGCAGGGGTTGGGGCTGGATGATCCCTGAGCTCCAACCCTTAAAATTCCATGATTCTCTGATATTTTCTACCTGTTGCCTAACTGTCCCCCAGTTCCACGTGCTGCTCCCATGTTCCCCTCCACACGGGCAGGCAGTGCCTGGCTCACCTGCATCACCTTCCCATCCTTTCCTCGGTACAGGGTGTACAGCTGGTAGGCTCTGACCTCGTGGGGAGGGGGTGGAGGGGAGCAGTGATGTTTGCTTCTGCGCTTGGGCACGTTGTGCTGGGGCTGAGGGAGTGTCTGCTGGTCAGCTGGGGAGATGGGGTCCGAGAGGGCTGAAACCTGCATGAAATACAATGTTTGCCCTAGTGATGAGCCCCTTGCTAAACTATTCCTGGTGGAAACAAGACAATTGTGACAATCACAGCAAAAATTGAGTTTACCTGACTATTACCTCTGCCCCGTGAGCATGGTGAGGCTGCTGCCCTGACCCACTGACACACCAGCCCAACAGCTACCCCATCCCTCTGTTTGAAATCTGCTGATACCTTTTCCTTTGGCTTCTTCTTTTTGCTCTTCTTCCCTTTGGGATCTGGTGAGGTTGACCGGTGTTCATCCTTGAGATTGTTCTTCCTCTGTGGGGGCTGCTCACTGCTCGGTGTGTCGTCAGCAGCTGAGACACTGCCCTGCTCAGAGCACAGACAGAGAGCTCACAGCAGGTGCAGAGATGAGGAAAAGAAGCTTCTTCACCTATTGCCCAGTTTGAAGCTGCTCTGCACATGTGAGGGGGAAACTCTTTAGCAGCAAAGCATGACACGCTGCCAGGGCAGCTGCTGCACCATGCACCAGTGATGGCTCCAAACTGACTTGAGTCCTATGGGCTCTACTGACACTCCCTCCCCAGACCAGATCCATCTAGTAATGCCAGGCTGTACCTTGCTCTGCACAACTTCATCCCGTGGCACTGACTGAGCTCGTCTTTCCTCCTTCAGTCTCTCTCTCTTCTTCCTCAGGCTTCTCCCACGGTTGAAGCGCGAGACCTGAAGGCAGATCACACTGTTACTCAGTGATGTCATGCTCCTTCCTACCACAGAAGCCAAGGAATAAATAGATCTTTTCCATCTCTGTCTAAAGGGCAATGGAAAAAGTGCAGTTTACTGCACACAGTTCTGGTGCCTCAATATAAGGAGGGCATGGAACAATTGGAGCAAGTGCAGAGGAGGCCACAGAGCTGCTCAGAGCACTAGAGCATCTCCCTGTGAGCACAGGCTGAGGGAGTTGGGGCTGTTGAGCCTGGAGAAGAGAAGGTTGTGTGGAGAGCTCAGAGCACCTTGCAGGAGCTGAAGGGGCTCCAGGGAAGCTGCAGAGGGATCTGTGTTAGGAGCTGCAGGGACAGCACAAGGGGCAGTGGGCACAAATTGAAGGAGGGAAATTGAGGTTGGATGTTAGGCAGAAGTTTTGCCTGTTCTGGTGGTGAGACCCTGTCCCAGGGTGCCCAGGGAGGCTGTGGCTGCCCCAACCCTGGCAGTGTTCACAGCCAGGTTGGCTGAGCCTTGAGCAACCTGCTCTGGTGGGAGGTGTCCCTGCCCAGGGCAGGGGTTGGGGCTGGGAGAGCTCTCAGCTCCATTCCACCCCCTGAAATTCTATGATTCTATGACCTCTGACAGCACTTAATGCTGACGTTTAATCTGCACACCTTGCTGGTCTTGGGGGCTGAAAGGCTTTTCAGCAGTAGAGCTGAGGTCAACCCACAGTGCCAGCAGAAATGTAGGCACCTTCCCCAGAGAAGGGAAGGAGCAGGGGATTTGGCCTCCCATGGTTAATTGGCCTCAGCTCCATGTGTGTGTGTGCTGGGGAAAGATGTGTAACATACCTGTGATGCTTTAGTCAGGAGCAGTGCAACCTCGGGGTTATTGTGCTGTCTGGCAACCTCTAGAGGAGTCTGACCTGCCTGGGAGGAAAAAGAAAACAGCATTTCCTTCAAAACACAAGCTACTGGAATTTCTCCACCCACGTTCAGTACACACTCTGTGAAGAAAAGTGACTAACTGCTTCATTTACCCAGATATAACTCAACACTTAACATCAAGACTATGAAGAATTTTGAAGGAACTCCATGTCCATCTTACATTGTTGACCACGGATGCATCAGCCCCTGCCTCCAGCAGCAGCTTCACCACCTTCCTGTGATTCAGGGCAGCAGCCACATGGAGTGCAGTGTCCCCTGCCTGCAAGTCAGAAAGAAGAAGACCAACTCATGAACACAAGTCCTTGGCTCTCACCCTGCAGAATTCACACCTTCCTAAGAGATGCTCAGAGGTGTAAAAACCTGCTCTTACTGATCATGGAATCATCAGGGTTGGAGGAGACCTCTAAGGTCATCCAGTCCAACCATGAACCTGTCACTGCTGGAACCCCTAAACCCTAACCCAGATCCTCCAGTGCCACATCAGACACCTCTGAAACACCTCCAGGGATGGTGACTCCACCAACTGCCCGGGCAATCTTCCAGTGATGCAACAGCCAAGCTTAAATAAGGCCTGGTCAATAAAAAAAAACATTGAAAAAAGCAGGACTGGGAGGATGGGGACAGGAGGAGGCAAGGAATTACTCCAGCATTGAACTAACCCAAGTGACACCTGATGCAGCTTGAGAGAGCCCAGCTGTACCTCCAGCCAACAGATATGACATCTGAGGGCAGAACCAGTTTTCCCACCACGACCTCCTCTCTTTCTCTTTCCCAGGTTTGATTATTTGGTGTGCAGGTGGTTATGTATCACATTACTCAGAACTGATCAGATAAGCACCAGCAGTAAAGTGGTTGGTGTTCTCTTCACAAGATTCCTCAGGAAAAGCAGATTTTGAACCCAAGCCAGGAGGCAATCCAGGTCCAGCACTAACACTCTGCCCTGCCTTGTCCTGGTGCAGTGAGGTGAGGACAGCTGTGATCAGGTTTGAGCACTCAGAGCCAGCACCTTTCAGGGGAGACCAGATGTGTCTACAATGCCCTTCTGTCCCCCTTGCCCTGCATTTTGCCTTCAGGAAGTTAGATCTCCTCAGGACTAGTGGTTACCTACTGTTTGTTGCTCACTTAGAGGTGTATCCCTAAATCAAATCCTTACACAAACATGGAACAGCTCCATGTAGTGCTGGGGAATGAAGGAAGGAAAGGAATATCTCTCTGGGCCAGGTTCACATCAGCTGCTCTTAATATTCAGCAGCTCATTTTGCAAGTTAAAGAAACTCATTTCCAAATAAAATTCTGTAGTGAATTCAACATGCTGAAGCCCAATTTTGTTTGCTGTGACATCTCACAGCGAAGGAAAGATTAAATGTACAGATCAGAAAACACCTTTATGATCCTCAACCATACGTGGAAAATTTCCCAGGAACACGAGAAAATGTGATTAAGCACCACATAATCTATTTATTTATCAGATAGAACACATTTTAGTGTATAAATTTATTCCCTTCTACCACCCAATGAAGCTACCAGCAATCACTTAACTTCTCTATAAAACAACTGTGGATGATTATCCCTAGGCTGGACTGATCATCACTTTGAATTTAGAGCACACTTTTATGCCCTTTTAATTCTCCCTACTGCAAAATGCTGCAAATATTCCAGAGGAATTCACCCTTCTGTAGCATCTAAGTGTGAGTTGTGCTTCCCAATGTCTCTGTAATGGCCCATAAGATCATTCAACCCCCTCATAAATAAGCAATGCTCTAAAGAAATGATGCAAATGTGATGGCAAAATAATAAACCACTGAGGTGCCATTACTTTGAGGCTTCTCATAAGCATTTGGTGGTACAGTGGAACACAGAGTGAAGTGGGATCCCTTGGGGAGGGATCCCTCTTCCCAACAACTGGCCATATGCAAAGGGCACAGAGTCACAATGAGGTTCATGCACTGACCTGGTTCTTTTCATGGACAGAACAGAAAGCACTGAGCAGCACCCTAATGATGGGCAAGTGATTATAACGAGCAGCCACATGCAGACAGGTATCTCCTGCCTGCAAACAGAAACAAAGCTCTGAGCACGTAGTCACAGGGAGAGAGCACCACACTTGTCATGGTGTTCAGGGATAAAAGAGTCCAGTTAAACCAGAAAGAGCAGGAAATGCCACACACCTCCATGAACAGCAATGCTGTCTGATCTGCAGTACAAAACCTGCTGCCATGGGAAGGTTAGCAAGAGCTGGGGGCATGGATTCATTAACCACTGATGGGCAATACTGGAATTATAAAATCACAGGATTTTAGGGGTTGGGATGAAGCTTAGAGCTGACCCAGCCCCAAGCCCTGCCCTGGGCAGGGACACCTCCCACCAGAGCAGGTTGCTCAAGGCTCATCCAACCTGGCTGTGAACACTGCCAGGGTTGGGGCAGCCACAGCCTCCCTGGGCACCCTGGGACAGGGTCTCACCACCAGAACAGGCAAAACTTCTGCCTAACATCTAACCTCAATTTCCCTCCTTCAATTTGTGCCCATTACCAGGACCCCAAAAAGCAGCAAAGGATCAGCTGCCTCAGTCTGTGCAACAGCTCAAACCCCTTTGGCTCTTCGCCCCTGTCCAAGAGATGGGTACATCACTCAGCCCTGTCAAAGACATCCCTGTACATGATGTGTACACTGGTTGGCCAATGTAACTTACACTAAAAATCACAGCTTAAAAGCCTTTCTACAAGTAAAAGCAACATAGCTAAAACAAAGCCACACACACAAAATGAACATGTTCTTTTCAAAACTCACATTATTTTTGAGGTCTGCTCGAGAGCCTCCAAGTAACAGCACACGAGTACTCTGGGAGTGGCTGTTCTGGCAAGCCAAGTGAAGAGGTGTGTTACCTGCCTTAGAGAAAGACAGCAAAACAGAAAGGCCATATTTAGAAATTGGACAAAGTCATTAAAAAAAGCAAAACTTCACACACAGAGAAACTCACTGCCATGGCACAGCATCTCTGATCTCACACAGTGCTGCTCACCACTGCTGCAGGGTATTTTAGGCAGACAAGCCTCACAGCTCCTGTCTCCTTATGACTGTAACACCAACCAGCTCTAGGTCTGGCTGCTCTGTAGGTGCTCTCACTGGGCAGGATACAGATTTTAGCCCATCAACAAGCTCTGATGTTCAGAAAGCACATCAGACTCCAGCCAAGATGAGAAGGGGGATAAAAAGCCACCCAAACCCAAAGTCCAATGCTTGGACTCGATGATCTTAGAGGTCTCCTCCAACCTTGGTGAGTCTATAACCTAAAAAGAAGACTAAACTGATCTCACTGGATGATCTACCAGAGCAGAAGAGCTTTTATAAAGACAACTTGACTGAAATTAAACTGCATCTCCAGGGTGATGGCCACACAGGAGGAATACAGCTGCTCAGGTGATATTACCCAGGAGTTACAGAAACTAGAGCCAAATCCCTCCTGTCTTCTGTTGCTTCACAGGGTTAGGCACACCCAGCAGCCAATATCTGTCCCATCTATCTGCAGGTATAAGCACAAGGGATGCTCCTGCACAGGGCACTCAGCCCTGGCTGCCAGAAGAGCTGTCAGAATGATTATGTCTTGCCATCAGCAACATAAAAAGCTGAGAGACCAGAGAAACTATTTGGGGATTAAGTAGACTTAGGCTCTTCATTTTTCTGGAAGTCAAAAGGGGTAAAAGCACGTGCAAGCATGCATGATTCCCACATTTTTTTCTGCAGCTCCTGAGAATAGATTGTCCATTAAAAGCCACCCAGAGAGTGAAAGGCAAAGGGAGAGGACTGTGTGGGTAAGACATCAAAGACCAGCACAGGAGCAGCTCACAGAGTATTAAAGGTTTCCAGTCATATTTCAGCCACCAACCCTGCTGAGCTATTCTGTGCACATATTTTCCCAGAGGTGCTGTCTCCAGTTGACTTATGCTGGATTGTAAGCTAAACCTTCTAAGTCCCTGAGGCATCCAAGCATGCAGGATAACCAGACCTGCATCTCACTTCTTTGTACAGAAGTACATGTACACACATAGACAAGTGCATCCAGGATAGGAGCAGAATGGCTCACAAGAGTTTAGAGTTTTGCCTTTATAGTCAGTTTTCCACAGTACCTTTGATACAAATCTAGGTGAACATCACAGCAAAAAAAAAAAAAAAAAAAAAAAAAAAAAAAAAAAAAAAAAAAAAAAAAAAAAAAAAAAAAAAAAAAAAAAAAAAAAAAAAAAAAAAAAAAAAAAAAAAAAAAAAAAAAAAAAAAAAAAAATCACAGAGGATAAAAATCAGTCCTTTAAACAACGTAAAAGAAGGAATATGCATGAAACAATATCGAAGATCCTGTAATTACAGAGCACAAATCACCACAACTGTACAAACAGATGGTTATATAGTGCACATACAGAAACACTATGCCCAGGGAATGGGCCCCTACACCTTAGGCTTTGGCCAGCTGTCTCCTTTCTTCCCAGCCCCTTTCAGCTGTTGTTGTAGAGACATATTTACCAAAACTGCTCAGAGATGCCCCAAACCCATCCCCAAGTCCTCTCGCCTGTCCTGGAGGGCACAGTGCCAGCTGTGACCTGACCCAGCACAGAATCCAAACCCTGACTCCCCCCACACCACAGGCTGCTGCCAACATTTCCTACACTATTCCATTAACTTCGGATTAGTGAATTCAAGTGTCCCATAGCTCTCACAATTAGAGTGGAACCAAACCCTGCTGCTTTGTTATTCTTTCCTCTAAATGGCTCTCAAGGTATAACAAATACCAAAAGGAACATAATCCAGGTTCATGGCAAGATTTTGGGAAGAGACTTGCTCACAGGCTGCTGCCAACATTTCCTACACTATTCCATTAACTTCGGATTAGTGAATTCAAGTGTCCCATAGCTCTCACAATTAGAGTGGAACCAAACCCTGCTGCTTTGTTATTCTTTCCTCTAAATGGCTCTCAAGGTATAACAAATACCAAAAGGAACATAATCCAGGTTCATGGCAAGATTTTGGGAAGAGACTTGCTAATCATAGAAATGGCTCTCAAGGTATAACAAATACCAAAAGGAACATAATCCAGGTTCATGGCAAGATTTTGGGAAGAGACTTGCTAATAGAATCATAGAATCCTCAAGGTTGGAGGAGACCTCAAAAATTGAGTCCAATCACTAACCTGTCACTGCTGGAACCCCCAAACCCTAACCCAGATCCTCCAGTGCCACATCAGACACCTCTGAAACACCTCCAGGGATGGTGACTGCACCACCTCCCTGGGCAATATCCCAGGGCCTCAACACCACAACAGGGAAAACATTTCCCCTCACATCCAATCTGACTCTGCCCTGGCTCAGCTCAAGGCCATTCCAAAATATACACTTTTTCTTCCCCCTCTGTGGTTTACATTCCTTGGTCATTTGATTTCTGGAATAAAACGGATTTTCAAAGCCATTTTCCTATTAGTACAGTTCAGTTCCATTTCAAGTCACACCAATCACAGTGGAGCTCCTTGGTAGAACTTAGAGCTCCATGGAGATTTCCACAGGGATGGCAGTGTTCCTCAGCTGTAACTAAGGCATCATTCAATGGGCTATTGAGTTTCTCCTGCGTCAGCTGTCAAAATACGACTTTCCTAATGCCTCTGGATGAACCATCCAGGCGTGAGAGATGCAAAAAAAAAAAAAAAAAAAGAGCCCCCCACCTGCTGAGAAATGCCATGGCCAAAAACCTCCAGCTCTGAGAATCAGCCACCTCACACCAGAACTGAGAGCTCCTCCCACATGGGTCTCACCTTGTTCTTGGCAAGAACGTTGGCTCCTGCTTTAACGAGCACTTTGGCAGACTGGCTGAATCCATGCCAACAAGCTTCGTGGAGAGCAGTGTTCCCATCCTGAGGAGCACACCCAGGAGGAGAAGGTTAATGTCTTGTGTCCACGAGCAGAGTAACGACACGTTCGGAACACGACAGCTCTGAGCCTCATCTGTCGCTTAAAATGTATTTTTCCTTTCTTATTAGCTTATTTTCTCTTTTATTTTTTTAAGAAGAGGGTAAAAATATTGTTACTAGTTTTGTTTGGGAGTTGGAATTGGTTATATTTACTCCCAAATTCAACTTACAGCCTGGAATTCTCAGCTTTCTGGGATAGTCATGGGAAACTGCAGAGCATGTTGCACAGGGCACAGTATGGTTGTACATGGCTTCAGTTCATCCCTTTCTGAGCTGAGAACAAACTCTTTAAACCAAAAACTAAATCAGCAGTTTATATTAAAGAGATGGTACAACCTTTTTTTTATCAATGCAACTGTTCCAATCCCAGGATCAGTTAGGATGGAAGGGACCACGGTGGGTCATTGGTCCCACCTCCCTATTCCAGCAGGGCCAGCCCAGAGCTCATGGCTCAGGGCTGTGTCCAGCTTTGTCCAATGCACAATTACTTGCAAAGCATCAGACACTTACTCAGGACTACAAACTATAACTTTAGCCTGTTACCTTGTCTTGCCTGTCCAAAGCACAGCCCTCTTGGATGAGAGTTGCTATGATGTCGGTGTTCCCCACCACAGCAGCCCGGTGCAGTGCTGTCTGATCACCCTGCAAAACGAAGAAAAGTCATAATTGGTACCATTCCCACCTCATTTGGGCTCGATGCAGATGCAGACAACACACACAGAGGCTGCACCTTCAGCACAGGAGCTGCTGGAATCCAAGCTGCCTTTGCAAACAGTCCCCATAAACAACCACCATTCGAGTTTCCAAGTTGCTGAAAACGTGAGAGCTACAAACCAACTGTTTACAGAATTTTGCAAGTCATCCAATCCCATAACCAGTGCTGAAGCATTCTAAAATTATGGCAGTATTAGAAGGCAGCGAATGGAACACATTTGGCACAAGGTGTCTGGTATCTACCAGGATCTGTAGGGAGCTGAAGGGAATTACAGGCTGTCGTAACTCATCACGATGATCCTCCTGTGCTTACCCTAACTGGATGAGGCTCTCCTGTTTTGACTCTGATTGCTCCATCAGCCCTGCTTAGGATAAGGAGCATGAGATGAGATCGGTCTCTTCAGCACCTCTAATGAATTGATCAATTAGTGCTAAGAGTGGAGGCAATTTTCTGATGAGGACCACAACTGCAGGACCATCCACCTGCTTCACTCAAGCAACTGAACGACCTTAAGGGCCAAATGACTTTCATGTCTCATGGACCTGCCACATAGCAGCAACAAGCAAGTTTCTTACACCAGTTTCACAGAATCAGTGAGGTTGGAAGGGACCACAGTGGGTCATTGGTCTCACCTCCCTACTCCAGCAGGGCCAGCCTAGAGCTCATGGCTCAGGGCTGTGTCCAGAGGGGTCTGGAATATCTGCAGTGAGGAGAATCCATGACCTCCCTTGGTAATCTGTACCAGTTTATTTGCTTTATCACCAAGTGTCCAAAAGAAATGATGCTGGTGCTGTCATCTTGTCTATCTTGTCATCTTGCCCATCTATCTCCCCTCTGACAACTCAACTCATCTGCTGAATAGAGAGCCCAAAATGAATTTTCTACAAGCCTTCCAGAAACTGAAGACTAGGGAGATGCAAACCAGCCCTGTCCATCAAGGGCTGTCTATATATTTCATGTTCATGTTGCTGAGCCCCTGATAAAGAGGAGGAGCAGAAGGATTTAGGCCACTGGGTGTAGGGATGTAAGGCATCAGTCAATGGGAAAATGAGCTGCAGGAGCTCCACTGCTGCCACAGCAACCAGTCCTGGCTTTGTTTGAAGCTGTGCTGAGGCACAGCCTGAGCCCAGGCACAAAGACAGGCTTCAAAGGTGCACACAGCCTGTTTGGGGCATGAAGAAACAGAGTGGGAATCTAATCCACTTCTGCTTATCTCCATAATGGTCACCACAAACACACGCAGGGCACAGATATGCCATGGACCCCGAGGGGAAAAAAAAAGCTTGCAGGAAGCTAGTCCTGAATAGACACAAAATTTCTCTGCTGCAAATCTTTATCAGATTATAACATGTTATATTAACTAGCAGAATTTCTGTATTTTCTATCCTACAGTTTACAAGTCTTTAGATAACTGGTTAATTTGTTCTCAAAGGCAATTAGCAGCTGGCTTAAAAATTGCTCTTGGTGGGGTTCTAATGACACCAAAATAACGATTAATCTGTACAAGAAAATTGAGCTTTGCCAACCACAACCTTTTAGTAATCCCTACCAATAAATCACTGAACAGGCCCCTCTTAAGACTAGAAATGTATTTGAAGAGATTTTGAACCCAGACAGTAATGGTTCCAGGCACTGGGACCTTGAGAAAAACACAAGGTGTTGGAAAACTGACAGCACTGCTAGTGCTCTGAGCCTGTGTATCTGTTCCAAATTCAAAGGCAACCAAAATATCATGGAAAATATCCAAATTATACCACAGCACAAGGACAAGTGTCAAATAGTTACTAGTGACTATGAGTACATGGAAATCTACAGCCAACAAGCTGAGAAAGAGCTTCATACCCTTTCTTGATCCTGCACTGGCACAGCCACTGCTACTGCAGCAATGGGTAATGTGGGCAGGGCAAAAGTCACTTCATCTGACTATCATGAAGTCTGCCAACTTATCCCTGCCAGCTGGTACTGCTGCACCAGCAGCACTACAGGAGACATTATAAAACAAACTCAAACAAGATCACAGAATCACCAGAGCTGGAAGGGACCCTTGAGCATCACAGAATCATAGAATTTAGGGGTTGGAATGGAGCTCAGAGCTCCCCCAGCCCCAAGCCCTGCCCTGGGCAGGGACACCTCCCACCAGAGCAGGTTGCTCAAGGCTCATCCAACCGGGCTGTGAACACTGCCAGGGTTGGGGCAGCCACAGCCTCCCTGGGCACCCTGGGACAGGGTCTCACCACCCTCACAACAAAAACTGTCTAATATATAACCTAAACTTTC